AAGTTATCTGTGTGACGGGTAGGCATGATGTGAATGAAAATGTATCTACAGCACTGCATCATTAGTGCAGTGGAAAAAAACATCACAGAGAGCTTGGGTGGGTGCAACTGTGGATTTTCTCTTGTTCCGGACCTACACCATCACCCATTGGCCTGCGGTTACTGATATTTATTCTAAAGCTAGTGTCCTGCGCATTATACTGCCAGTCAGATCAATTAGCATGTTACTTTTCATACTACTTCTGCTCTCATAGAAAACATTGTTCTTTTCAGGGCTGCAGCATATCCGAGATGCAAAAGCCGCAGCTGGCAGAACTGAGATAGAGCAGTTATACGTAAAGGCTGCTCTTCAATGTCACCCCGATAAGTTCAAAGAAGGTCCACTTAAGAATATTGCTACAAGCGTATTTGTTCGTTTAAAAACTGCATGTCTCAATAATGACCTACGAACTGTGAGGAATATTACTGAGCAGCTAAAACTAGGTCTGCTCATAATAGATATTCCGGTGGAGAACATTAGGAAGCTGCTTCGAATGGAACGCGATGAACTTCGAATCTACGTCGATGCTCAGCATAATGAACTCAAATCACAGCGGAGTTACAATTGTGACATACTCACTAAAGTTCCTAAACGGGAGTTTTTGCAAGCTTACTTTGAATGTCGTGAAGAAGAATTGCGGCACGAACTAAAAGCTTGGAAAGAAAAAATACAAAATGAAGGCAAGCTGTTCAAAGAGAAATTTTTTAACGAAGTTGGCATAAATAATTTCTTTTGTCTTTCAGCTACAATGGGAAACACCGAAGAAATCGATTAATCAATCCGGTTGTCTCATCAAATCATGCCCACATAAAATTTTCTAATTATAATGTGTCATCGCAGTTTATTCCAGAGCTTTGTGTATGCCCTTCTGGGTCTCTGCTTGGAACAGAGACAAAACTTGAATCGAATAAACAAATATTTCAAGTTGGTTCGATTCGACTCCACCGAATCCCATCGAATCCGAATTGAATTTTTGGCAAAGTAGGCCAAATCGAATTGGGATGTGGTATGGGTGTGGGTGTGGGTGTGCGTGTGCATGTACGTGTTGGTCTTCTCCTCAGTGACACCGACACCCTTGTGTAACTTTTTTCAGCCTTATTGATTAGGATAAGCTTTGAATTAATGAAATTCATTTTTCAATCTAAGAGAATAAAGTATAATGGCATGGTTTAATAGAAAGTTAATTGAGCTTTTTATATCAAATATGAGATGTTTTCGGCAATACGTACATTGACCCTCATGTAATATTCTATAATTATCTCTACGGGAATGATGTAATACAAAAGTTGTATGTTGCAGAATTTTACGTAAATAATCTCCCAAAATGTAATATTACCTATAATTATATTATAGGAAAATTTTAAAAAGTCGATTCGTATCGGAGCTGGTAGTAGTCACACGGTCTGTGGGAAATATAAATTTAACGAAAGTGAATTGTATCATATTTTATTGATTTCATTTCTACTTGTTTCGAAAATATCGACAACTAAAATGTTCCTGTTGTTGTGATCTCTGCTCGATTTGTGTCGGGTATTTTTCAATACGGTTCGCGTATATGCAATACACTTTTTGAAAATTTAAGAGTTTTAATTTATTGTTCAAAAGAAAAAATGATTCGATAATATAATATTGAACTAGATCAAACTATTATATTACAGATAATTGACAATTTTTGGATTCAATATGCTACTTTTGTCTACAATGTATTTAAATCGGTTGCTTTAAATTACATTCCAAGGTGAAGAGTTTATAATCTTGTATCAATTTTAACTAATGTCATTCGCTGATCTTTGACACAATCAAACTTTGAAGAGAATAATATTTAGTTCAAAGAGTACACTGACGTGAGTGCGAAGTATTTCTTTTTTCGTGTTTAACTTTCATCAGTAATAATAATTTGTCGGAATTTATCTAGTCTTTAGTTTTTCATGCTTGAAATTTTCAAAGACGTAATTTTCTCGCGACGAATTATAATAATACAAAATATATTCGGAGTGAAAAAAAAGCTCTGCTTTATACAGAGAAAGTTCAATCTGCCTACAGTTCGATACTACAATGAAATATTTGAGTATAGATGTGTGTTCTGGTTGTCAATGAGCTGCAGTACTACAATAATCTTGTTGATGTTATTTTCATGAGCATTTATTTCCATCTATATCACAGTAATCAAATGAATTCATACTCAATACTATCAGCAGATTGTTAGAATATTCTCAGCTTTTTTGCCAATTATTTCTCTCCCTTTCTTTAAACTACTCCAATTGCAGCCTGCAGAATAATTTATGCATTTGTTGTGCTTGGAAAAGGTGACTTGCATATTAACGAGTACTGTCAAAGAGCACTCTAACAAATCTTATCTATTATCCTTTGCTGTTTTCTTCTACTTCATCAGCTGATGTGTGTGTGCGTGTCCAGATCAAATTCATCCGGTGGAAACCGACTGTCGGAAACCATTGCTATCCATTAATTTTCGACGGCTTCCGATGTCAAATTCTGTCGGATTCTGTCCATAGGATCCGACGATATCCGGCAATAGAAACTTGTCGGATCCGACGGAATCCGATGGTACGAAAGTATCCCTAGCTATTTTATTTCAGATATACTTTTTTAATTGTTATTTAGTTTATTGTATTTTAGTTTTTTTATTCTTTTTTTAATTTTGTTGGGTACATTTTTACTATGATCACACCTATTATACAGCGCCCTCACCCTCATGCAATGTTATGTGTTTAAATTACACCAATCAATGTATAGATGTGATTAAAGTAAACTAAAACTAAAGTGCCTTATTCTTTTGTATTGTATTTTATTTTCTATGTTTTTTGTATTTTGTTTTATTTTATTTATTTGTTTTTAATTTCATTAAATAAAAAGTTTTAAAAGACTGGACTTAAGCTGTTAATTTGCAGCTGATTGTAGATGAGGAGGGAAGCGAGATGAGGGAGGGGGAGGAATAGGGTCTAATGTTCTAGTATGAATCCAGCAGGATTACGAGTGTATCCGACATTTTCCAACTATCGGATCCAACTGTCTGAAATCGCCGGATTCCCCATCGGAAATTATCGAATTGTCCTGGAAATCCGATAGGATCCGACTGTCGGATTCTTCGATCTGAGTACGTTCCTTACTATAAATTGTACATATAGGTCATTCTTTTTTTTCTTTCTCTTTTCGCTTCCCCTTTCCGGCCATGAGAATTCATTGAAATTTCTAGTCTTTTCCGCTCCTTAAATTTTTATCTATTGGGCAGTTGGAAAAGAAGATGCCCGACGTCATCTTCTTTGTTTTATTCTATTCTAAGCAAAACTAGGATGGAGGTACCGTTACTTTCCCCCTTCTCTCTCTCTTTCTTCCTTTTTCTTTGTGTTTTTTGCTGTTTTTTTTTCGTGTGCGTGGGAGTATGTGTACTGGGTGCCGTATATAAAGCGAGTGATTTCATAAACAAATCAGCTAGGCGAATTAAAAATTTCTCCTCATCATTTGATTGGATTGGTACAGAAATGAACGTCTGTAACAAGTACAAAAAAATACGATGAAAATCACGTAACCATATGCATGACTTTATTGTTATTTTACAGACTCATTGAAAGTATCTCAAAAGAATGACTAAATTGTTTTATCATATTGAATTTACACAATGATTTACTACTGATAAATACTCTCATGAAATATGCATACATTTGAAAAGAATCTCATCACAACTATATAAGTGTTATTAAAGAATGCACTAAAAAAGAATAGATTAGAGAAAATGTTAAAGTTCTATGAAATTTATAGATAAAAGTCAACGATGAATTTAAATGAGGAGAAAGAGGAGTGACGGAGTGATCGCTCGTTCCTTCCAAAAATTTGTTTCGATTTTTCGTAGTATAAATGCATGAAAACGCTTACACTACCTCTGATGAACCTTTAAAAGGTTTATTGATCATAATCGCACTTCTCTTTCTTACTGACGATTTACAAGGAAACATATTTGAGTGTCCCCCTAAGAATAAGTTTAAAACCATTCTATTCAGTAGGGATCTTAATGAATATCTCTAATATCAACTTATTAGCTGCTGTCATTTGGATTCGAAAGAATGAGAGAATCAAACTTTTTCGTTCTTATATCCTTTTCTTGCGTTTGAGCTGTATCATTTTTTCACTGATATAAGATTTCCAAAAAAACGATCAATTGTTTTCAAAGAAGAGTCGTCGAAAATGAGCAAAATCTGACATGAAAGAGCCATTTATCTGTTACAAAGAACAGCATTATATCTATACTTCCTAGCCATGTATCAAAAATAATTATTTGTATATGTCAGTTCTTAGAACTAACCGTGCTTTCCGTTTGTAATAAAAGAAGAAATGAAATCTGATGCATTAATATTTCACTGATTCTGAGTGAAATCACTTAATATTGCATGACCAAAAGCTCTCAAGGTTTTTGCATTATTTCCGAATCATCATATTTCAGAAACTACATGAACTGTGAGTATTTCGAATATTCTTTCTGGCAGTCAGAGGTATCAAGTTTATGACAACCTCAGAAGAATGAAAACGGGACCGTTTTGTGGTTCATAATACGGCAATAAAATAGTACCATTTTGGCGCTAAACGTTGCAATAGGAGTCGTTTGCGGACGGTATTTCACCATATGAAATTTATACATTATTACAGTTCGCATTATATCCTTATAGAGCTACGTAAGATGGCCCCCATTACGTGTTAAATATGCCGTGGGTGTGGGTATGAGTCATCGCCTCACCGACGCTCACACTTGGTGAAATAATTCGTTCGAATGAGCACATAGACAAGTGAAAACAAATGATTCCATAACGTCCTAATCATACTACTGAAATCAGCCAACCAATCAAAAAAGAGAAGCGGTTCGCATTAACATTGAATATCGAATAGATAACGTCAAGTTTTAGTCTACTACTTTTAGCAAATTATTCCAGCGATCTGAATATCAATCTACTTTATTGGTTATACCTGATGGTAGTGACAGTTGCTTGAACAATTTGCCGTTGACGGTAGCGTAGGATTATCTTGAGGCCTATTTTTACTGGAATGGGAACAAGAATTCGAAGCGCAACTTTCAATCCTCCGCATAATCCCATAATGATATTCATAATATAAACAACACTAAATTGTTCATAACGTGAATAGGTACATGACAATGGTCCACATGCAAAATAGTATCCATCGTAGGTAATATTCGTTTTCCACCAATCGACCATAAGCCCATCAATTAGGGATTGGACGGTGGCATTACTATTCGAGAGGGTTGGATTAAGTGGTTGCATAGTGATATTAGTAATCTGATATATTGACTGAAGTCTTTCTATACATGTCATATTGTAGAGACATTCGAGTGTCGATTGTAGAAGTGCTTCAAGTGGAGAACATCCAACACGAAACCCAGGCACAAGCCATTCGCCTATAATCGCTGGTGTGCTACACGTAGGATTTGTTCCACATGAACAATTTGTAGTGCCGTATGATCGAGGCTCAGTCCATAATGGAGTATAGCTATAGTTTGCTTCTAATACAGGAAAATACCAATTCGACCATGTTGATGACATGATTCCATTACCTTGTGTTATGCTACGAATTAAATCGAATGTTCTCATAAAACTGCGAGAGGTTGATGAGCGAAATTGATTAAGAATAGCATTAACTTGCGTTTCAATTGTCTCACGAGATTGAACTTCACTGGTGAATAGTGTATTCGACAAGAAGAATGCTAATGCGTCGTTCAACGTTTGATTAGCAAATGTACATAGAGAGACAAGCCATTTAAATTGAGGTACAACAAAGAGACGATAATCGTCATATGTGTAATTGAAACTTGCCCAACGGAAGTACAACAAATTGATCCATTTGTTATTTAAGACAAAATCACTGGAACAAAGTTGATGATAGTGAGGAAAAATCAAAACGAATGAACTATACGGAATGGTGATATTTTGACACGGACAATCAAGAGTTGGATTCGTTCTGAGTTCGTCAAATATGACCGGTGATGGTTGATCAATTTTCGTAAGTTGTGTATGAGTACTCAATGATGTATATGTAACGATGACAGTGAAGCATACAATAAACAAGAGAAAATAGAGACGAGTAGCGATAATTTGTGAATGGCGATGTTGATCATCAAACCAGGTCGCTTCAGTTTCGAATATATTCAGATCGAGTATTTTTCTTTTTAGGTTAGATATCATTTGACACGATTTTGTAATGAAAGTGATCTGACCTAGATTAAAAACTGAATCAAAAATTTTGCAAGAAATCTTTGCGTTAAATAAACAAATTTCAATATATAGTTCTGGTGCCGCAATAATATAACAACATATTTTTCACTTACCTCGCACCGTGTTTCGATTTGTTGTTTGTTGCAATCGATTTCGAATGTATTTAATGAATATTGGTACCAAAAGTCTTAAGGTAGCTGACAGTCCACCAGCGAGTGCCAGTAATGTTGTCAATACGTAGAGAGCATTATTTCGTAATGAAATAGTATATGAACACAAATTCGGTTCGCAGTACGCATAGTATTTACTGTAATTAATATTTTCACCCCATTGTTCAATCATCAATGCATCGATTATATTAGCGATGATTGTTTGTGGTTCGAATCGAGTGATGTTTCTTTCAAGAATTGAAATATTGATAGATTGCTCCGAATTTAAATTGCTTTGTACAACATCTAGACATGTTTGATTGAAGAAACATTCAAGTGTAGATTGACGAACACCTTCAATGATCGAACAACCAATGAAAAAATTAGGCACATTAACTACCCATTCTGTTAAGAAAATTGTATTGTCGAATGTAGCTTCGTAGAAACCAACCGTATTTTGACATTTGTCTACCAGAGCACATGAACAGTTTCCTAATTGCTGTGGTATTGAATTGAACAAGTATTTTGTGAGTTCTAGTGTGACAAATGGATTTCTCAGGAGATCAGCATTGGTTCGAGCAGTTGAAAAAACACTCTGTGCGTGTATTTCAATCAATGCAAAAGCTCGTTTGGATTGACCAACCGTATCCACTTGGAATCGATTCAATGTAGCACTGATGCGTGTCAACAGTTGGCTCTCGGGCACTGTTTGACTTGTGACTAATATGGACTGATTGAAAACGTGCCACGCATCAGATATGATCATTTGTGACACAGAACAAAAGGAGGCCAAAGTGGCAAAGAAAGCTGGAGCTACCAAACGAAAATCTTGGAGATTTGTGAAGTAACCACCGTAAAATGAGCCCTGTGTCGCTTTAATCCATTCGTCACCAATAAACGCACTCGAACACACAGGATGAAAATGGGGAGAAAGTGAAATGAACTGACCATGTTCAATAACTATTCGACTACACGGGCAGGATAATGTTGATGAATACTTTGCGTAAAGATTTTCATAGATTGTTAGAGATGGCGTTTTGATAATGACAGTTTTTGTTTCTATGCTTGACGCACCGTAAATGACGAGAATAACGAGCGATAGACAAAGAAGAATCAAATAGATACGAGTTGCAATCAATTGTGTCATCATATCGAAGGAATTTGATCGCGTAGTAGCATCTTTAAAGAGATTCATTGTATACAATTGGGTTCGAACCCATCGACATAAGTTTCGTAGACGCTCAGCTAGAGATATAGCTAGAAAATTATTAAAACAAAAACTATGCTTAATAGTGAATCGGACACAAACTTACTAGCAGCGACTTCTTCGTTTGCTTGAAGTTTTCGTAAACTCCACCAGGAGACCAGGACTGGTACACAAAGGCGAAGAGTAATAGTGAGACCGCCGTAAAGACCAATAAGAGTAGTCAACAGGTATAAAAAACTGTTGTGTCTTGAGTACGTATAGGTACACGATATAGGAGCACATTGGGCAAAGTAGTCAGCAAATGAAGTTGTTGATGACAAATCTTCAATGAAAAGCTCGTTGACTAGCTTTTCGATGGGAGTTTGAGGCGAAAAACGTGTTTGAGTGTCAATGGAAAGAGCATGGATGGACAATGATGCAGTCGAATGAAAAAATCTTAGGACAGTCTGTAAACAGTCCGGATCATAAAAACATTCGAGTGTCGAATCGAAAAGTGATTCAATTGCATAACATCCCGCTAAAAATCCAGTCACATTAGCCATGGGTTGATCACGCATACTGAACAAGCCTGGCTGACTCGTATCAAGAGGATTAAAAAAGCCAGAGGGCAAAGTACAGTTAGGCTCATTGCTACAGGAACACTCTTCATCATGTTCATCGTAATAATAACCACCAATTTGACCTACAATGACATCATTATCGTTGAGGAAAAAAATAACATGGGTAGCTGTCGTTTGCAATACCGGTTGTAATCTATTGCTGTGAGTCGAACTGCGTATAAGACCCAGAAGACGACGAAAATCGCGGGCTGCTGAACTACGCATGAAATTGATTCGAACTTGAATTTGTGTTTCAATCAAATCAGCGCTGAGTACTTGCGTAGTGAGCAGAGTGTTCGAGAGAAAGTCGTTGATAGTATCATTTAATGTTCGCATAGCATGGGTACACAATGCAGCAAGCAATTGAAATTGGCCACTAGCTGATGAACGAAAGTCGAGTGGGAAAAAATAGCTGATGTTTGAACTGAACAAAAGGCGAATCCATTCTTCAGATGTGAGAAAACTTGAACACACGTGATGGTAGTGTGGTGAAATCGATACGAAAGAACCATGATGGATCGCAATTTGACTGCATGGACATGACAAAGTGGTGGAATAATGATCGAGTAGCTCTTCGACGAGAGATTGAGATGGATTTTGGATAGTGACAGTTTGGTTTTGATTACTCAATGATATAAATAGGACTAGAATGAAGACGAACAGTGTCAAAAGACCGATATAGATACGAGTTGAGAGCAACGCTGTACGCAAGTGGAACGGATCGGTTCGAGAAGCTTCATTTTCAAAGAGATTCAACGCTTTAATTTCTTCTCGAAACCAACGAACAAGAGTGATAATGGTCATCATTGGTTGGTGAAAGCACAGAAGTAAAGTTCAAGTATATAGACGAAAATCGATTGATCTGCGACGGAAAATGTCGACCAAAAATGTGACAAATGACTAATCCAATGTTATTGGTACAGAACAAACTGAGTATTGAAAAACAATGTTTCCGTAATAGTGGATTGAAATAATTACTTATTGTTTGAGTCGCTATTTCAACTAAAGATAGATGAAAATCAAGTGAGTTCTCTCAGTTCTAGTGTGAAAAAAACTGCTTTCCTTTTTTTATTTTTACATCAGAGAACTTTTTGACGTTAAAAATATTCTAACAGGTGCGACATAAAAAAGAAACTTTGTTTCATTAACATCTGAGTTAGTTCTTCTTGTTCCGGCTTGTTCATTTTAGAGAAGAAAGTAGCGTAATCGAATAGAAACATTTCGTGTCAATTTCAAACTCTTCCATTTTTCCAAAAAATATTTGTTCGAAACATTACAGCAGTAAAACTTTTAGTGATAGATATATTAAACAGAAGTAGGCAACAAATTCAAGTGAGAATCAAATTGAAAGACAAATGCTCTAGATACAATCCCGCATCTGGCTTGATTGTTTCGATAGCTCCATTGTGCAAGTCAATTATTCTAGCTGCATTTGAATTCCACCAGATAAGTATATTGGATAACTATGGAAATTTTCTGATTACTCAAACAAGACAAGTGCAATATCATTTTCTCTTACCTGAACGAGAATTAATAAGAAAAATAGATAATTGTAGATGACAAAAATAGTTTATTCTTAATTCGATGAATAATCTTTGTCAGAAACAAAATTCACATTCAGGTCATACAAATTGAACCGAATGGTAGAAATTTATTGTGTGCAAAAGTAAATAACTGCTTTGAAAATATTTCTCTTGTTGACTACAAATACTATGAAATGGTATCTTTGTCTCTTTTTATTTCATTTCATTATGAAATATCAATCTCGTTTTTAATTAATTTCCAAGTGCTATTCTACAAAAGTTTTGTGAATATTAGTTATTCAAAAATGATTCGCTATTGTCGCTAGCTTTTCATAAAAGTGTAATGAGATAGAGAAACATAACATAATGGAAAATTATTGAATCATTCATTTTCATCATTTCAAGTCCATATTGTTTATAATGCAAAAGAATTTCCCACAGAACACCCATGAATTGTATTGATTGATTCGTTTTCTTTTTCCAGGTTTCAGGAGACAAATTTATTTACTTAGCTATGACTTTATTTCAAAACACGAAAATACTCAATATGTTAGTACAAATGTTGATAGAAACAGAAGCTTCTGTATGCAGAAAATGTCTTCTTGATACCAAGAAAAGATCATTCATGTATGTTTCATTATCGATGATCGTATTATTTCACTCGAAGAAGACTCTTATTTAATGAATCTTTGATCAGAATTTGTCAAAGATAATGTAATAAAAAAACTCAAAGCGGCGTTAGTTGTCGAATGTTATTACTACTGATTGTCAATATGCCGAGAATATCAATGTCCAATTGGCAGATCTGATGAAGCATGCCAAAGCTTCAACGGATTGGTTATCAACTGCTGGCTTTTGTAAGAAAAATAGTATTGAAAGTGATGAGTACGAAATAAGTATCGACCTAGAATGACTAATAGCGTTTGAATGTGGTAGCCGAACACTAGTGGAAATATAATTAGAAAAATCTCTATGATGAGAACCAACGCATTGGTAGTCGTTGAACGTGCGTTTTGAAGATTGATGAATCTCGATTACGCACTTATAAGAATCATTTTTTCCCTCAAGTATATTTCATAGAGCCAGGCAAATGAGTCTTTGAAGCAAACAGTTGCACATACTCCGACGAGTGTCGTTTTGCAATTAAAGAACTAATTTCTTTTTCTTTTATCTTAAATAATGTCATCGAAAAGGTTCTCATATAAAATTCGCGTATAGTATGTGTTGTCAAAATAGTTTTTTTCGCCAGCCACAGAAAAAAACTTTGTTGATTGATTATTTTATTTTTACTATGGACTGATCATACAAATAAAATACGTTAGATATACAGCTCCCATGTGAAAATTTAAGCAAATAAGAGCGCTTAAATTAGCTTATATTTTAGGCTGAACAGTGCTGAAAAGCGCACATTTTAAGCGACTTAAAAGCACTTGTAATTACATATCCAAGCGCTTATAAGCACCGAATTTCTACAAACTTATATTCATTGTTG